GTGCCATACCACATTTTTCAAGTGGAAATTCAAATAAAACTTTCAAATCTTTAATTACAAAATAAGGTTTCTTTCTGCTTTTTTATTTTATTTTTAAGTAACTCAAAATTTAAATATGATTAAGAAATTTTATATTTGACTAGGGTAGAATTACCAAGTTGTTAAGTTTTTCAAACATTTTATGCTATCTATAAACCTAATCAAGATGATAAATAGTATACATAACACATATTTGGGAATTTTGAAGAAGTCATTTTATTCTTTAGCTTTAGATGTGTATCATTTAGTACCTTGATCTGCCTTTTACTGCTGTATATTCACTTCATAGTTTAAAAGCTTTGAAGTATTGCCAATATAATTTGTAACCATTATTTAAGGATTAGAAAACACAGATAAAGTAAAATTAGATTGTGTATGATTACGTCACTCAACAATGATGACTGTGAAAGGCTGCCTTTACGATTTGTCTCAAATATCCTTTTCCTTTACTCCTTAACTCATTCCAGTAATTTCCACTCCCCTGACCATTCAAAATTTGTTCTCTCCAGGTTGACAGTGATTTTTATAAAATTAGAGATCATTTCTTCAATGTCATTTAATGTAACCTGTCAGTAGTATTGTTCTCAACACAACACTCTTCTCCAAAATAGCTTCCTCATTTTTCTTCTAAAATACTTGCATCCAAGGAGTGATTTTAGCTCATTTGTCAAATTTTAGTTGGTTGTCAATGTGTGTTTTCCTTTCTGGGGTTTCTATTCTGTCCCATTTGTTTACATGTCTATTTTTGTTCCAGTACTAAGCTGTTTTGATTACAGCAGACCTCTATTATGTCTTGGAATCTTGTATTCTGATGCCTGCAGCTTCATTTCTACTTAAGATTCAGTAATTGGGATCTTCTTTCTTTTCTTATGAAATTTGAAATCAGTTTTATCTACAATTGTGAAGAATGTCCTTGGACATTTTGATGATATTACTTTCTCTGTTCTCTGAATATGAGAGATTTTTCCCATTTTTATGTCCTTCGGTTTTTTTTTGATAGGCAAAATGGACAGTGAGAGAGAGAGAGAGAGACAGAGAGAAAGGTCTTGCTTTTGCCATTGGTTCACCCTCCAATGGCCACCATGGCCAGCGCGCTGTGGCCAGCGCACCACACTGATCTGATGGCAGGAGCCAGGTACTTCTCCTGGTCTCCCATGGGGTGCAGGGCCCAAGCACTTGGGCCATCCTCCACCGCACTCCCTTGCCACAGCAGACAGCTGGCCTGGAAGAGGGGCAAACAGGACAGAATCCAGCACCCCAACCGGGACTAGAACCTGGTGTGCCGGCGCCGCAAGGCAGAGGATTAGCTTAGTGAGCCGTGGTGCTGCCCTTGTCCTTTGTTTCTTTAATTAAGGTTTTGTAATTTTCATTGTAGAGATCTTTCACATTCTTGATTAAATTTATCCCAAGGGTCTTTTTTTTTCTTTTTAGCTATTGTAAATGGGCCTAATCTTACAGTTCTTTCTCAGGCAGAGAATTGTTCATGTATAAGAATGACACTGGTTTGTGTGTGTTGATCTTACATCCTGCAAATTTTCTTAATTCACTTATGAGATCTAATAGTCTCTTAGTGGAGTCTTTTGGTTCCTGTATACAAAGGACTATATTATCTGCAAAAAGGGATAATTGGAATTCCTCCTTTCCAATTTGTATCACTTTTTTTTTTGCCTAATGCCTGACTAAAACTTCCAGAAATATACTGAAAAAATAATAATGAAAATGGTCATCTTTGGTTCCAGACTTAGTGAAATCCTTCACAGCTTTTCCTCATTCAATATGATGCTGCCTGTGGTTTAGTCATATATTGCTTTGATTGTGTCAATGTATGCTTCTTCTATCCCAAATGTTAAGGGTTTTTATCATGAAAGGATGTCATTTTATCAAATGGTTCTCTGCATCTATCAGAAAATCAAATGGTTTTATCTTTCATTTTATTGATTTTAAAAACATATTTATTTATTTGCATATGTTGAACTACCACTGAATCCCTTGAATAAATTCTACTTTGGGTCTTATTGATGTATTATTGATGGTTTTATTGATGTATTTCATACCATTTTGTTGAGGATTTTGAAGCTATGTCCATTATGGATATTGGTGTATAGTTCTTATTTATTGCATCTCTGTGCTTTTGTAATTGAGCTAATTTTTGCCTCAAAGAATAGATTTGGGTTGATTTTATCCCTTTCAATTGTTTTGAATAATTTAAGAATGGGGGTCAGTTCTTCCTTCAAAGTTTGATAAAATTCAGCTGCTTCTGGGCTGGCTATGGGGCATAAAATGTCAAGCTTCCACCTGCAGTTTCTGCATCCCATATGGGTGCTGGTTCAAGCCTCAGCTGCTCCACTTCCAATCCACCTTTGTTGTAATGCACCTTGGGTCCCGGTGCCCATGTGAGAGACCCAGAAGGAGCTCTATGCTCCTGGATTTGACCTGGGCCAGCCTTGACCATTGAAGCCATTTGGGGAGAGAACTGGCAGACTGAAAATCTCTGTCTCTCTTCCTCTCCCTCCCTGTGTCTCTCTCTTTTAAATAAATAAGTATTTTAGAAATGAATTCTATCTCTTCTATAAATGATGTTTGGAAAGCTGGATTTCCACTGCTGTAGTTCCAAATCAAACCTATATCTTACTCCCTATACAAGAATCAACTCACAATGGATCAAGGATCTAAACCTAATATCTGAAACCGTCACATTACTGATGAACAACATAAGGGAAAGGCTATTGGCCTAGGCAGTGAATTCTTGAATAAGATAGCAGAAGCACAAGTAATAAAACACCAATAGACTAATGTGATTACATCAATCTAAGAAATTGTTTCACAAAAAAGAAAATTAACAAAGTGAAGAGGTAATCAAAACAATGAGAGAAAATATTTGAAAACTATGTATCCAATAAAGGATTAATATCAAGAATATATAAGGAGTTCCAGAAACTCAACAACAAAATAATCCAGTTAAAAATGTACCAAGGGCAGGAACAAGCATTTTCAAAGGATGAAATAAAAAAGGCCAACATGGGGCCAGCACTGTGGCATAGTAGGTACAGCTACCGCCTGCAGTACCAGTATTCCATATGGGTGCTGGTTCAAGTCCCAGCTGCTCCACTTCTGATCCAGCTCTCTGCTATGGCCCAGGAAAGAGTAGAAATGGCCCAAATCCTTGGGCCCCTGCACCCATGTGGGAGACCCAGAAGAAGCTCCTGGCTCCTTGCTCCGTACTGGGTTAGCTCCAGCCATTGCAGCCATGTGGGGGGTGAACCAGTGGGTGGAAGCCCCCCCCTTCTCTCTGTGTGTAACTCTGACTTTGAAATAAATAAATAAATCTTAAAAAAAAAGCCAACAGACAGATGAAAAAACTCCAGGATCACTGCCATCAAGGAAATGCAAATAAGAATTACAGTGTGTGTCCCCTCACCCCAGTAAGAATGGTCATCATCCAAAATCAGTAATGGAAAATGCTGGGCATTATCACTCATACATATTCTGAAATAAGCATTAAAACTGTCACTCACCTAGTTTTTCTATTGCTTTTCTAGTGTATCCACCATAGCCTATTTCTTTTGTTTTTTGTTTTTTTCTCATCTCCTCCTTTTTAAACAGAAGTGCTGTAGAGCTCAGTCTTTTATATTCTTTCTAATGACTTTTACAACCTTGTTTGTACTAATGGTTTCCAAATGTGTATCTCCAGCCAAGGAACCCTTCCTTAATTTTAGATTGGCATATCACACTGCCTACTTGAGACCTCTCTTTGATTATCTATTGTGTACTTAAATCCCAACATGTCCAAAATATTACTAATGTTATTCTTTCTCATACCTGTCCCTTAGGTAGTCTTCCCTACTTGAGTTAATGGCAACTTCTGCAATTGCTGTGCTGAGATCCACAGTGAATTTTTTTTTTTTTTTTTTTGGCCAGGCAGAGTAGACAGAGAGAGAGAGAGACAGAGAGAGAGAGAGTTATAGACAGTGAGAGAGACAGAGAGAAAGGTCTTCCTTCTGTTGGTTCACCCCCCAAATGGCCACGACGGCTGGCACACTGCATCTGGTACACCGCACTGATCTGAAACCAGGAGCCAGGTCCTTCCTCCTGGTCTCTTATGCGGGAACAGGGCCCAAGCACTTGGGCCATCCTCCACTGCCTTCCCAGGCCACAGCAGAGAGATGGACTGGAAGAGGAGCAACCGGGACAGAATCCAGTGCCCTGACTGGGACTAGAACCCGGGGTGCTGGTGCCGCAGGTAGAGGATTAGCCTATTGAGCCACGGCGCCAGCCCATCTTTTCTTCTTCCTTTCAACTTCACTACTTTTATTTCTTTTTATTTCTAGAATCTTCACTACTAATTTGAATAAAAGTAGTGAAAACAAATTACTATCTTGTTCCTGATATTAATGGTAAACTATTTTAATTTTTCTCATTAAATATGTTTTGGAGTTTCATCATATATATTCTTTATCATATTGATGGAGTCTTCTTGTATTTTCACTTTCCTGAGAATTTTTAAGTCAGGAAACAATGTTAAGTTTTTCAAACACCCCATCCACTGAAGAGGTATAGGGACGCCCCCCCCCCCGCCATGCACACTGAGATAAACTAGGAAAGCTGCCTCAGGCCTCAGCAACAACAAAACAGTGATACAAAATCAGGCAGACCACAGCTCACTAGGCTAATCCTCCACCTGTGGTGCGGGCACCCCTGGTTCTAGTCCGTGTTGCTCCTTTTCCAGTCCAGCTCTGTGCTGTGGCCCAGGAAGGCAGGGGAGGATGCCCAAGTGCTTGGGCCCTGCACCTGCATGGGAGACCAGGAGGAAGCACCTGGTTCCTGGCTTTGGATTAGAGCAGTGTACTGGCCATAGTGGTCATGGGGGGGGGGGGTGAACCAATGGAAGGAAGTACTTTCTCTCTGTCTCTCTCTCTCACTGTCTAACTCTGCCTGTCCAAAAAAAAAAAAATCAGGCAGACTTTATCTTTTCTTTTTAAATATTTTATTTATTTATTTGACAGGTAGAGTTACAGATAGAGAAAGAAAGACAGAGAGAAAGATCTTCCATCTGCTGGTCACTCCCCAAATGGCCAGAGCTGGGCCAATCCAAAGCCAGGAGCTTCAAACCAAGTCCCCAACATAGGTGCAGGGGCCCAAGGACTTGGACCATCTTCCACTGCTTTCCCAGGCCAAAGGAGAGAGCTGGATCAGAAGTGCAGCAGCAGGGACTCCAACTGGAGCCCACCTGGGATTATGGCACTGTAGAGGCTTAGGCCACTACACCACAGTGCCAGGTCCCAGACTTTATCTTGAAACTTAACTTTACTCTGACTGAAGTTATCCCATCTCACAAATATTCATCTGCATGTTCAACCTTGAGCTCTATCAGGGCAGTATGATTTGGAGAACACATGTCCCTGTGCAGCTCCTGGCTTTCAGAAATAAAAGACTCCATAATTTGGCCCTGAGACTTCAGCACTTATTAATATTTCTGAAATTAATAAGCTCTGTGGGTTCTTGCCATGAATTCAGAGACAAATTCTGAATACTGGCTCAAATAGACCAGATGATAAGCTAAGTTTTTAAGCTTTTATTCAGTGAGAAAAATGCATAGGAGAGTGAGGGCTCTATCTAAAGGAGAAAGTCTGGAAATTAAGTAGGGGCCATACCAAGCAGGGAGCAGGCCAAGAGCTGTGGACTTGTCCTGTGAGGCCCACACCATCGGGGAGAGTGAGGCAATGGTGTTCTTCCACAGGAAGCACTGGGGACAAGCTTCAGTGAACATGTCCACCTTTATTAGTGACCATGTACACTTTTAAAGGGCAGGCAGAAGGGGTGTAACTAATTCAGGGCAACACTAACTCTATAAGATAGAACCAACGCTGGCACCAATATGCATCTCCAATCAGCTTGAAGGTCTCATAGCTAGCGTAGCTTTCCAGGTGGGCCTGGTCCACCCCCAGCAGAAGTTTGCCTAATTGGCAGAAGGTAGGGGTGGGAGGAAATGTGCCTGAGGCTCCCACCTCCCACCATCAGTCAGGCTAGCCACATGGGCTAGGCAGGAAGTCTCACAGGATCATCCACATCTCCCTCCTTTGTTTTAGGGCAAGTGTGACTCTGCTTAGCATTGCACAGCAACAAATCGCAGCCCACAATAAGCTTTAAATTAAATTGAAGAATGCCTACCATGGGGATTAAGAGCAGGGAGGAAAAGAAGGGCAAAGGGAAAAAGGCCAGGCCCACCATGTTTCAGGCCTTTGTAATTGGCAGGCAGGTGCACAGGTATGGGAAAGCAGGGGCATGAGATCACACAGGGGGCATGGGGAAAATGTGATGAATGTGTAGCCTTCCAGCTCTCAAACCTAATGATATAGACTGCCTACATCATTCCCCTTCAGTGACTCCATTCCCTTAATCCAAGGGATATTCAAGGGTGTAAAATCATCACATCTTCTATAGCTGCTTCCTGTTTATAAGGGATGAAGTGCAGGCCTTGCCTGTCCTGGGTCTGGAAGTCTCTGCCTATCTCACCTAAAAATTCTCTTTGTGAACTGGAGCATTCTTGGTCACCACCAATGTCTGTGTCCCCTGCATGGTCAGTTTCTCCCAGAAGTTGTTGAGTTCTGAAACATATAAGTTTGTTAATTAGTACGAGCAAAAATGGACCATGACCAATTGTAAGTGGAGCGCCCCTTCAAGATGAAAAAACCACATCCTACAGACTCCCAGATAGTGGGTGGTGATACATTATAAACCCATTTAGCTTGAGTATAGAGAATTATAATAGAAGAACACATTAGGAACTTTATTATTAATAACAGAGAGAAGCAAAGAGGCAGGTACATCATGCCTGCCTTCAGATGCAACACTTGATGTGAGGAAAGCAAAGGCTTTATTTATCTTTTTGCTGAAGATCTCTGGCTTACAGGAATAATCAGGCATGTCTTTTGAGTACACCTGTGAGGACTTGAGAGGTAGACATTTAATCCTAATTTTACTGAGGTAGTCATGTTCAGTAGCACCTAGTAAGGTCCCTTCCATTTAAGCTGTAATCGATCTGAAGAGGATCTTTCTATGAATGGCTTCTTCAGGGAAAGGTGCTAAAGTTGGTTTCTAGAGGGTCAGCTTTCAGACTGGGTCCAGGGTTTGGCATTTCAGGCTGGTATCCACACAGGCCGCAAAGTGGTCTCTGGAAAGCACAAGCAAAACCTTTGCCCATCATTATGAGGGGATCAGGCCCCTTCCATTGTTGGGTGGTCAGGTCCCTCCATCAAACCAGAGGCAATTGGGTTGCACCTATGAGAGGTCTCCAGTGTCTCACTGCTGGTGGCTCTCCAGGGGGTGAGACCTGTGAGAAATTTAAGGTGAAAGCAGCAAAGGAGCAAAGTTAACACACTCACAGTGAGGGTACCATACTCTCCCGTCTGTTTTTTAAGCATAGTCTTAAGGTCTTGCATGGGAATCCAGTGACTCCTATGGTTAATTTAACAATTCACTCTTTTGTGTGATGTCAGTGATCACTCAAGGCTCCTGAGATAAGCTGTCTAGGCTATGGAAGCCTTCTGAATCCACAAACTCCATCAATATTTAGAGAAGGACCTAAGCAAAGTGAAAGTTCTCCCTTTGAAGAGAGTACATCCTTCTTTGATGACTACTTCTTTCAACTGGGGTCTCACCCAGGGTGGCTCTCCATGTAGGCACACCTTTTTGCACAAGTGTCCTGAATTTCCATGCCTGAAATGCTCTTGTGGGCTTTTTAGCCAGACCAGAATGCCTTTAGGGATGACTCTGAGGTCACTGATTGTTACTTAGAGCAATTGCCATTCTATGAGTCTGTTGTATGGACTGCTTCCCATGTTGAAGCATTACTCCTCTTTAATTCTATTAATTCTATTGATATGACCACTTTAACAATTAGTGCCTTCTATATGACCAATTTAAAACTTAATGCAATCAAATGCAGTCACTTTTAAACTTGATCATATATAATTATATTAAAACTTTTGATGTCACTTTCATCATCTAGCCCAAGGGGATTTGGGATCCCATGGTGAGTAAATCCAGCTGTGAAATTATGATTTAAGCTTTCATTTTGGCTATGTTGTTACACAGAATATGTTAGTCACTCCTTTCATAAGATCTAAAAATCAAACTACATCTTGAGGAATCCCTCAGGACAGAGTCAGTGTCCCGTCTTAAAGAGAATAGAGAAATGTGGGAACAAGTCAGGCTTGCCAGAATACACACTGACAATGCCAAATGGAATCTTAGCAAGTGGTTTTAACCATTAAATAATAGCTTATAAAATATTTACTGGAAGGTCCAATGCCTTCTATAAATTTTAAGAATACATGTATTTAAATATATCTTAAATATCTAACACGGTGTGGCTTGTTTAAACAGCAAACAAAAACATAAAACATTTTTAGTTTCTTTCTATCAACAAATTTAAAACATCTGATAGATTCAGGTCACATGAATCTTCAATTAATTTTAGCTATTAAATTTATAGCAATCTTTCCTTGATAAACCAATTAAGACAGAGCTCAAAATAAATTTTCCCATGTAGACATACAACATGAACACACACATAACACAACATACAAGATAGAACAATAAAGCAGTTTTAGTAATAGTTTTCTAAAATCTTTAGCTGTTGTTTTATTACCAACCAATTAAAATTACTTTCTGTTCTTGGTGAACTTGATTAACCATGCTTTCTTCCAGTTGGAACCTGTAGTGCGTTATTGACTTCATCTGTTTACAGAACAATTCAAAACTACTGAATACAATAGAAGTGGCTGGGAAAAGTCCATCAGAACCTATAGGAGGGCAGCTAAACACAGAACCAACAATGTTTTAGTTTAATGAGCAGCAAATCTGATATACAAAACTGTGGATGAGAAAAGACTTTAGCCATGTTTCAAATGATAAACTTATTAACCAAGAGGTATTTGCTTACTTCACACAGTATTTTCAAAAGCACCTATAGGATTTTACAAAACATTTCATTCTTTTAGGCCTCTGGGCCTTTCTCATTAAGATAACCATCATGTCTAGTAACACGAGATCATTAGACTTTTTAACTTTCAGACATTTGTATCAGTGGCATTTTATATTATCAAAACTTAAAATTTAGCACGACTTCACATTTTAACAGTACCTTTAATACAACCCAAGTTGCCTGATTGATTAGCTGGTGTCTCTTGAAGATGAGAGACATAGATCCTTTGACATTTCCAGGGACCCAACTGGAAATATCAAAGTCCAAATTCTTTGGAACTTTGATTTTTTTGAATGCCTGTCAAAGATGACAAGAAGGCTTAAAATATCTGGCTTAACATCATGACAAAGTATAGACCAGATTTGATCAAATCATAACTCCTTTAAAACTCAGTTGTTTTAAACAATTAGAACTTAAGAGGCATGAAGAGAACTAAATAAATTACTTTAAAATAACACAAAATCTGTCTCTTTGGTTGTTCAGAAGTCAGAAATAAAAACTTAAATTTAAGACCTGGTGCATTGAATCAAATCCCATAATTTGGAACAGTTTTAAGAGTCAGAACTAAGGAAGAAAGAATAGCACCCTCATGGGAGACCAGGAGGAAGTACCTGGCTCCTGGCTTCAGATCAGCACAGTGCACTAGCTGCAGCATGCCAGCCATAGTGGCCATTTGGGGGGTGAACCAATGGAAGGAAGACTTTTCTCTCTGTCTGTCTCTCTCTCTCACTGACTAACTCTGCCTGTCAAAAAAAAAAAAAAAGAAAGAAAGAAAAGAAGTCAACAAATGACAAAACTGATGAGGATGTGGAAAAAAAGTTACCCTGGCCCACGGTTGGTGGGAATGTAACTGGTGCAAGCCACTATGAAAGACCATATGGAGACATCTTACAAATCTGATTATAGACCTACCATATGATCCAGCCATCCCACTTCTTGGAATTTACCCAAACCAAAAGAACTTAGCATATGTAAGAGTTATCTATAACCCCATGTTCATTGCAGCACAATGCATAATAGCTGAGATCTGGGAACAATCCAGATATCAATCAATTGTTGACTTGATAAAAAAATTATGGTATATACACACTATGGCATACTACTCAGTTATACAAAAAGAAAAAGAAACCCTTTCTTTTGCAACAAGATAGATGCAACTGAAAACCATTATACTTAGTGAAATAAACCAGTCCCCAAAAGACAGATATCATATATTTTCCCTGATCTGAGGTAGCTAATAGAGTACCTAAAAGGTAATGTATTGGAGTTAGATACACATTTTGAGATTTGATGATTGTTTACAGCCCTTGTCTCTTCCATTGAGAAACAGTGATATTTTTTAATTTATTTTTTTTCTTCATACTATTTGCTGACTTGTTGAACTCTTACTTAGTGTAGGTTAACTATACAATCATTAAGTAAACTGAAAACAGATTTTGTAAAATTTAAGTGGGAATGTGAGAGGGAAGAGGAGAAAGGGTTGGAGTGTGTGTGGGAGGGAGGGTATCAGGAGAAGTGTCACTTACATTCATTAATCTGTATATATGAAATATATAAAACTTATATTACTTAACATTTTAAAAAGAAGTAAATATTTAAAATTCAAAAAAATAATACCAATAACCAGGAGAATTTTAAAGGTGTTTATGTATATAACATGTGTGTGTGTAATTTATGACATTACAATGTAAATGTACATATATATAATTTTTAATATAAATGTATATAGAGCAACATTTTTAAATTTTTATAATGTATTTATAATCAGAAAAGAATAGCTCAGATTTCTGTAATAATTCACTTTCTGATCATTACAAGAGTGAAGAGTGAGCCACCAAATTGTAGCTCATAATCTATTTCTCTGTGTCTCCAAGGCTACCAACCTCTAAAATTAAATAAACATACATAATTCTGAGATAAAAATAACATTAAGATCCCACTATTTTCCCACATAATTTTCAGGAAATATACTAGTATCTAGACACACAGTGGCAAATTTACATATGTTTAAAATATATGTATATTATATATGTTCCATATATTCATATATATATATATTACATTGAGGAGAAAGAATTATTACCCTTGGCTAAAATGGCCCTGAGACACTGTGTACCTGACAGTTTCCAGGGCAACTTACAGAATGTTGGGGGTGATGATGATCTTACAATAAAAGTGAAATCACCATGGCCACAGACTCACAGAGCTAGGATTGGCCTAGACTAAAATATTTGTGCAAAAGAGTGACTCCAGTGAATTTAAAAATTTTCATAATTAAAGGTTAATTTCAAGTTCCATGAATGTTTGTAAGGCTAAGAATGAAATCTCCTGCTAATGAGTGATGGAACTGGCCCTAAATTGTTCTCATATACTGTGAAAATAAAATTTGGACATCTTCCAGAATTTAGATAGTTGATGGCCTTACAATGATAATGTAAATCATGGTAGCCTGAAGTTCCCTGCACTAGAACTGGCACAAATTAGGTTATTGACTATTTATTGAGGTGTAATAATAAATTTGAATAAACATGAAAAATAGAGAAATCTATTCATTTCAATATATGTTGTATATTGACAGTTGTGTGTACAAATGGTAAATTTAGTAGAAGCAGGAATAAGGTTACAAGGAGATGTAACAGATATTAATAAAAATAGCCCTAAATACACATTTAAATACAGAAAATTTGTGCTCTCTTAAATCAAAGAAAGCTTATGTCTTTGAATTCAGTAATTTTAAAACCGAGATAAAATTGTCTCGATCTAATGCATGGAAATTTTAAAGAGAATGACAATTTTGATTCTCTAAATATAAAGAAGCTATAAAAAAGTGTCCATGAAAGTGTAAAAGAATGTAATGTTCTAAAATTATTTGATAGGCCATAAAGATAGAGGTTGCTAAGACAACTTGAACATTATTTAGTGCATTCATAACATGAAAATGTAAGTGTCCCAAAGAATCATCATACCTTGGCAGCGCTAAGATTGGTTTCCATGTGGATATTGACATACTCAGATGAAATTAATAAAATGAAAGACAAAATAAAAAATAGAAACCTGATGCACATGGAAGTTAAAACTTTGCCTTGCCCTTAGTAACAATGTGTATTTTAATGTGAGCCATAATTAAAAAACAAATATGTGGATGCCTATTTGGAGAAAAAACAGTCCAGAATAAACTGGAAAAATTACAGTATGATACAGACTTGTCGTTTGGAAAGTTTCCACAATCAGAAAATAATTTAAAGTTCCAAGAGCATCTAGAAACATTAAGAATGTATCCTATGCTGATGACCATGATGGTGCTGGCACTGCGATGTACTCAAATCCTGTACACATGACAGTTGCTGGGACAACTTCCAGCATTTAGAGTGAGTTGATGACCACACAATTAGAAACCAAACCATGGTACCCATCATTTCCCTGTGTTAGGAATGTCACAAATTGGGTTATTCACTACACATGCAGGTGACAGTAGCAAATGACAACATAAATATGCATTCCAGGGAAGGCATTCAATTTTGATTATATGGTGTATAAATTAGTAATTTGGCAGAAACAGAGGCATAATCATATACAGATGGACTAATAATTGGATGGTGGAGTAGGGAGGGCACTTACTGCTCTAGCCCAGGAGAAGATAGTTTTAAAAAAGTGGAAATAGAGTAGTCTCAGGGAAGAGTTAGGAAAAAAATGACAGAGGAAATTCTACTGACATTAGAGGGACATGGTAGAGGTGGACACCTGTGGGCATGGTGCCCACAGCTCACACCTACAACAGCTGAGAGCCTATGCACCAGAACTGTAAAGTGAGGTGAGACAAGACCACAGTAGCCCGAGCCACCAGCAAAAATGTGGCAGGAACCTAGAGGGAATGAGGCTTAAATCTCTGAGGGAAAGTGTGTCAGCCAAAATAGAGGAGAGAAACAAAAGGGCACAGTACAGACACCTTTCTTTCTCTCCAATCAGCTCACAAAGGCATGCAAGCTGATAGAGCAGGAGCCATTTTGAACATACATAACAGCTGTGCCAGCTTGTGTCTGCACCAGGTAAGCAGCTGACTCCTGACTCTGGTGGGGAGAAATAACAGGAAACTAGGAACTTGTAACTGTGTGAAGCTTCTGAAGCAGGACTGTGAAAAAATAAAAAACTGAGCGTGTGTGGGAAGACTTGCAGTGTGGCTGGGACTTTGAGCACTCTCAGTGGGAGATGCCACAAGCTTGGGGGTTCCTGGCTACCTGATGAGAGACATTTCTGGAGAATCTGAACTTATACTGAGGACTACACAGATCCTTTGTGTGGTTCTTTGGACAGAGCAGACAAATATTATACCTACTGGGGCTAGTACTCAGGCACTGGTCTCCATTGAGGAGAAGAGCCCAACGGAGCAGAATATACTTCCCTTCTGATTAAAAAGAGGAGAGGGAAGACTTAACATGCCAAACTTGGGGGTGTCACCTTAGGCATACCCTTTCCCCTTGAAAACTGAACAGAGCTCTCTGGTCACACCCACTACAAGCCTCTAGAGATTCACTGAAAGCAGAAAGTCCATTAAGCTACAGTCATAATACAATGAGAAAAACCACCACAGCAGAAAAAAAAAAAGATGAATATCTGCACAAATGCCAAACAAATGCAAGAATCCAAGAAGCAAGAATAAGAATAACATAGTCATGCTCCCAAAAGAACATGACACTTCAATACTAGATCATGAAGATAATGAGATAGAAGAAATAGAATTCAAAAATTTAGTCATAAGATTACATAGAAGTAATCGAAAGCAAATGCACCAACTACTGAAATCCATGAAGAAGGACATGAAAAAACATCTCTCCCATGAAATTGAAATTATCAGGAGGAATCAAGATGAAGATTTCAACAGAACAAATAAAAAGTGCAGTGGAGAGCCTTAAAAATAGAATCAGAGAGGCAGAAGAGAGAACATCAGACTTAGTAGACAGAGCACAGGAAAGTATATAGTCAAACCAAACATAAGAATAGGAGATTAGAAATCTAAAAAAGACTGTTGGGAATCTACAGGATACTATAAAGAAATAAAACCAATATTCTGGTTCTAGGAGTTCCTGCAGGCATGAAGAGAGAGAAAGGATTAGAAGGCATTTTTAGTGCAGAAAACTTTCCGGGATTGGAAAAAGAGACATCCAAGTACAGGAAGCACACAGAACTTTGAATAGACATGACCAGAAAACATCCTTGCCATGACACATTGTAATCAAACTGCTGCAGTGAAACAAAAAGAGAAGATTCTAAAATGGGTAAGAGAGAAACACCACATTACTTTCAGAGGATCTCCAATTAGACTCACAGCAGACTTCTCATCAGAAACCCTGCAGGCTAAGAGAAAATGGCAAAATCTAGCCCAAGTCCTAAGAGAAAAAAACTGTCATCCCAGATTATTATACCCTGCAAAGCTTGTGAATGAAGGTGAAATAAAGACCTTTCATAACAAACAGAAATTGAACGAATTTGCCACCACTTGCATGGTAAATCTCTTTTTTTTTTAATCAGAAGGGAGTTATATCCTATTCAGCTGAGTTCTTCTCTTCAATGGAGACCAGTGCCTGAGTACTAAATCAAGTGGGTATAATATTCACTCTGTCCCAAGGACCACATAAGAATCTGTGCTCTCCATGTGGGACCTCTGTCCTTAGTGAGAATTAACAGTAAATCTAGTCTTCAAACACCTGTTTAGCTGGGAGCCTAGGAAAAAGTGCTCAGGCAAGCAATATTGTGAAAAATTAGTTCTAAGTAATATGAAAGATAAGTCAGACAAAACAGCAGTCCAGCAAATCATTCAACCTCACCGAAACTACCAGCAGCTACATCATTCATTTTCTGTTAAATCTGTTTATAATAAGATTTAATTTGATGAATACTTCTAAGAAGCTGTGGGGACTTAAAGAGGGATGAAGTGCTATTTCTCCTGGGTAGTAATGGAGGTGGAATGGATTAGTTGCACAGCTATTATCTAGATGGGAAATAAAAGAGCTGCTGCAGCTAGATGCATCATAGCATTTGTAGCCCTGTTATCATGGGATAGCCATGCAACCTAGGAAATGTGTTCCTCCTGAGGGTATCCTGAGGAATTAACTGAATGTAAATCAGGTTTATATAAATCCAGAAAGGACTTTGTAAATTGCAAGGGATAAAAACGCACATTTTCAATAAAAATGAGGGCCACCTGCAGGAGCAGGGAATAATATAAAAAAAAGTTAAAAAAATTAAAAAGTTAAATTAATACAAATGTGTACTACAGGGACCAACACTGTCACAGAAGATTAATGCCCTGACTTGCAGTGCCAGCATCCCATATGGGTGCTGGTTCAAGACCCAGCTGCTCCACTTCCAATCTAGCTCTCTGCTATGGCCTGGGAAATAGTAGAAGAAAGCCCAAGTGCTTGGGCCCCTGCACCTACATGGGACATCTGGAGGAAGCTCCTGGCTTTGGATCAGCACAGTTCGGGCCATTGTGGCCAATTGGGGAGTGAACCATTGGGTGGAAGATGCTCTCTCTCTCTGCCTCTGCTCTTTCTGTGTAACTCTGACTTTCAAATAAATAAATAAATCTTTTTTTAAAAAAAAAAAGTATACTACATTTATGCTCCTGCTTCTCTGTTGCATTGGGTACCACCTGGATAGATTTCATCCCATGTCTTCTCTCAAGGCAATTAGGAATAGAATGAAGAAGTGTAGAAAAGGGGGATTATGGGTGAAAAAGGCATTATGCACTCAGTAATACAGGAAAATTCAGATGAGTGTTGCAACTTATAGGGTTTGAGGTTGTCCCTTTAAAGAATGAGGGAGATGTGTGTGACAACATCTACTTGCATATTCAAATAGACCTTGTGTAGTGGAGTCTAATCCAGATGTGTGCACAGATAAGTTGAAATTTCTCATGGGTCACCACAAACTCATTGCCTTGTGCTGCACACAACACTTATTATCCAGGCCTAGGGTACACTATTATGGCTGGAACATGTGTACTTGATATGCCTATGGTCACATCACTGGCTTGCACTACAATAATGTGGGGAAAGAATCCTGGGTGGCCCACAAATCAGCAATAAAACAAATAACTTTGTAATTGATGAAGATGGTATTCCAAATAACTGTTGAAATCACTGTTACTCAACTTTAAATTTTTATTAACAAAATTTACACAAGAGCCCAGTTCAGTTCATATACTTGATCACAATAATAAGAAACCAAAAGTGCAGCTTGTATAAGAGAAAAAAATTCTGAAAAATGCTTAACTGCTCTGTCACAATTCATCATGAAAACTGCCCAATACTTACTAAGGTGTGATTCCACCACAGCATTCTTCCAAACAAATTATATTTCAGGGACTTCTCTCTGTAATCTTGCTATGTTTTGTGGAAGTTTGCTTAATAATAAAGGTATTTCCCATTACAATACAGTCATAGGATTTTTTTCTTTCTATGAGTTGTCAGGTAACCACTGAGAGGTGACATGTGGTACATGACTTTTGTATGCATGTATGTTTTCTCATTTCTGAGTCTCTTCATGTGAATTGATTAATGGCAGAAGAATTTTTTCACATTCATTCAATTGACATTTTACTGTTTGAATTCTCTGGTGCTTGTTGATGTTTAATTTCATGTTTTTTAAGATTTTTATTTATTTATTTGACAGGTAGAGTAACAGACAGTGAGAAAGACAGAGAGAAAGGTCTTCCTTCTGTTGGTTCACTCCTCAAATGGCCACAATGGCCAGAGCTGCACTGATCTGAAGCCAGGAGCCAGGTGCTTCTTCCTGGTCTCCCATGTGGGTGCAGAGGCTCAAGCACTTGGGCTGTCTTCTACTGCTTTCCCAGGCCACAGTACAGAGCTGCATTGGGAGAGGGGCAGCTGGAACTAGAACTGACACCCATATGGGATGCCAGCATAACAGGTGGAGGATTAACCTACTGCTCCATGGCCCCAGCCTGATGTTTAATTTCTGGTTATGGTTTTTTCAGATCTACTGCACTTGAAGGATATCACATTTTTTGAGCTGCATATTTATGCAAGCCTGAATTCCATGAAAATATACTTCCACATTCATTACATTCCTAAGAAACCCTTGTGTGAATTCTCTGATGTATAATGATCGATTTCTGACAAATGTCTTTTTGTCACACTAATAATATTTCTGAACTTCATTTTTTTAAATTATTTACTTTATTTATTTGAAAGACAGAGTTACAGAGAGATAGAGAAGCAGAAAGAGGTCTTCCATCCACTGGTTCACTCCCCAGATGGATGCAGCGATCCAAAGCCAGGAGTCAGGAGCTTGTTCTGGGTCTCCCACATAGGTACAGGGCCATCTTCTACTGCTTTTCCAGGCCATAGCAGAGAGCTGAATCAGAAGAGGAGCAGCCAGGACTAGAACCGGTGCCCACATGGTGTGCCAGCACTTCAGGCCAGGGCTTTAACCTACTGTGCCACAGCACTGGTCCCAACCTTTCTTCCTTATGGGAGTGCCTATTGTATGGGATGTAAATTCCAGCAAAAGGCTTTGTCACATAGTTATGTTGATTTTGGAAAAAGTCCTTCACATTCATTATATTTTTAAGTTCTCTCCCTTGTGTGAACTACATGTATTATGAGGTATTCCTTTTGACAAAAGGCTTTCCCACATTTATTACAAGATTTCCACCATGTAATAAATTCTCTGATGTTATATTGCGTGATTTTGGCAGAGTTTTCCAACACTCATTCCCATTCATAAGGTTTCTCCCCCATGTGAATTCTGATGTTTTATGAGGTGTTACTTATGGATAAAGGCCTTTCCATATGCATTATATCCAAAGTGTTCTCCCCCATAAGAATTTGATGATGTGCAATGAGGGCTGAATTATGGGAAAAAGCTTTCCAAGTCATTATGTTTAAAAGGTTTCTCTTCATGTGAATTTTCTGATGCATTCAGAGATATGACTTATTGCCAAGGGCTTTTCTACAGTCATTGCATTCATGAAGTTTCTCCCCGGTGTGAATTCTCTGGTGTGATATGAGCTATGCTTTATAACATATGATTTATAAAGGCATTTCCAAACTCGTTAGATTCATAAGGTTTCTGCCCTGTGTGAATTGTGTATGATATGAGGTATAATGTATAGGAAAAGACTTTTCTGCAGTTATTACATTTATAAGGTTATTTCCCTGTGTGAATCCTCTGACGCATTTGGAACTGGAACTTAAAATCAAAAGTTTTCCACAGTCATTACACTCATGAAGTTTCAACACTGTGTGCCTTCTCTGGGGCATTATGAGGTTTGACTTTTGTCCAAAGGCTTTTCCAGTCATTACATTCATGAGGTTTCTGCCCCATGTGAATTCTCTGATGCACGATGAAGGTTGACTTACGGCTAAATGCTTTCCACAGTTATAACAATCACGAGTTTTCTACCCTGTGTGAATTCTCTGCTGTGATATGAGCTTTGCCTTTTCTCCAAAGGCTTTTCCAAAGTCATTACATTCATGAGGTTTCTCCCCTGTGTGAATTCTCTGATGATTCCAAAGGATTGACTTTTATCCAGAGGCTTTCCCTCAGTCATTACATTCATGGGGTTTCTCCCCTGTGTGAATTCTCCAGTGTGATCTGAGGTGTGACTTTCATACAAAGGCTTTTCCACAGTCATTACATTTATGAGGTTTCTGCCCTGTGTGAATTCTCTGGTGTTTGATGAGGTGTGACTTTTGTCCAATGGCTTTTCCAGTTATTACATTCATGAGGTTTCTGCCCCATGTGAATTCTCTGGTGTAATATGAGGCAGGACTTGTGTCCAAAGGCTTTTCCACATTCATTACACTAAAGAGGTTTATCTTCTGTGTGATTTCTCTGGTGTACAATGAGGTGTGACTTTCGTACAAAGGCTTTTCCACAGTCATTACATTTATGAGGTTTCTCCCCTGTGTGAATTCGCTGGTGTACAATGAGGTCTGACTTTCTTCCAAAGGCTTTTCCACAGTCATTACATTTATGAGGTTTCTCCCCAGTGTGAATTCGCTGATGTATGATGAAGGCTGACTTTCTTGCAAAGGCTTTTCCACAATCATTGCATTCATGAGGTTTCTGACCCGTGTGAATTCTCTGGTGGATGATGAGGTATGACTTTTGTCCAAAGGCTTTTCCACAGTCATTACATTTATGAGGTTTCTTCCCCATGTGAATTCTCTGGTGTACGATGAGGTGTGACTTTTGTATAAAGGCTTTTCCACAGTCATTACATTTATGAGGTTTCTCCCCTGTGTGAATTCTCTGGTGTAATATGAGGTATGACTTTCTTGCAAAGGCTTTTCCACAGTCATCACATTTATGAGGTTTCTCCCCTGTGTGAATTCTCTGGTGTAATATGAGACATGACTTATGTCCAAAGGCTTTTCCACAGTCATTACATTTATGAGGTTTCTCCCCTGTGTGAATTTGCTGGTGTACGATGAGGTATGACTTGTGTCCAAAGGCTTTTCCACAATCATTACATTTATGAGGTTTCTCCCCTGTATGAATTCGCTGGTGTATGATGAGGTCTGACTTTCTTGCAAAGGCTTTTCCACAGTTGTTACATTTATGAGGTTTCTCCCCTGTGTGAATTCTCTGATGGATGAAGAGGTCTGATTTTCGTCCAAAGGTTTTTCCACAGTCATTACATTTATGAGGTTTCTCCCCTGTGTGAATTTGCTGATGTTTCCTGAGGTCTGACTTTTGTCCAAAGGCTTTTCCACAGTCATTACATTCATAAGGTGAATTAAAACTGAGTGATTTTCCACAAGGTTTAAATGTATAGAGTTTTTCCCTTGTATTTAGTATCTGATTTATTGCAAGATGTGACTGGTGAATGACAGGTTCAACATACCTAATGTACCTATACAATTTCTTTCTTGTGTGACTTTGTTGATGCATATTGAGGCTATAATTTTCATGGATAGCTTTTTCTACTTGAGTTGCTTTTCCAAAAGTGACAGTTGATTTATCGCAGTTTTCTGCCATATGAACCCTCTCAGATTTATAGAACATCTTTCTTGTGAAGACTTTTGCTTGTCCAGTGGGTCCAAATGGCTGCTTCGTGATGTGGATATTGTCATGCTGACCAAGAGGCTCACAGAACTGGAGAGAATTTCCAGGTATCTTAGTGTTATCAAATTTCTCTCCAGCCTGTAGTTGATCAGGCCCACTGGGGCAATACATAGCGTGACATTTATTGCATTTCGCAGGCTTCAATCCTGAATAGGTACCCTTTTCAACAATCAGTGTTGGAATATGGCTTGAATTTAAACTAAGAGTTTTTCTTAATTCAACTCTCTCGAGAACTGATGTCTTGTTATTTTTCATAAAATCCTGATTCAAATATTTATCCTGATTTTCCTGGTTGATCCTAATCAGGTCATCCCTTTTCATGACCACTGAAATGAGAAAAAGCAATGATGTCACTGAATCACATATAGCTGTTTCTCCTGGTATACTCATGTAAAGGGAATGAAGTTACTTGTTATCCAAGTGGCATAAGATTTTCACAAAATCAGTATGAGGTACTTATTTATGACCATTATATGGTTTTTCTCCTTAATACATTAATATACCATGAGGTTTCCCATGATCCTGTTTACTATGGGAATTTGTCAAGGATGGTAGAATGACGTTTGTGCTATGATGTGTGGGATGCTTGCATCTCAAAACAGTGTCAGTTTGAGCCCTGGCTACTCTGCTTTCAGTACAGCTCTCTGCCTGTGTAAACTGGAAGGAAGCAGATAATGGTTCATGTGCCTGGGAACCTGTGAGACACCAGGGAAGACTAGATGAATTCTAGAGTTTCAGCTTCAGACTAGTTAGACCTAAATGTTGCAGGCATCTTGGAAGTGAGCTCATAGAAGACCTCTTTCTCACTCTCTCCTCTCACTATCACTCTGCAATTTTCATCACTATCACTCTGCCATATTTCATCACAAAGATTAAATGACTATAAAATATTTTAAAGAATGGACAAAAATTTAATAAAAATATTCACCCACTACCTAGCAACCATTTTTTCCCCTGTCCTTTTTCTCCAGTTTATTTTTATAAAAATTGTGTGTTTCTTGCTTCTCTGATATTTCAACCATGAACATGAAAAAGTTTAACAGATCATTTACTTGCAGGTGGAGAAGAGGGAAATGTGCCTGTACTTTAAGCAGGACAACATTTAAGGAGTATGATTTGAATCTATGATTGTCTCATATTCAGTCTTCCTAGGTAAACATCATTTCTAGGATTTTTAAATTGAAAAACTACTTTGTCTCAACTCTACGACAGCTTCCCCAAATCTCTAAGGACACCCAACTCCTTCAGCTTCTCAGAAGTACAACAGGTACAGAAAAGTCCAAATATACCACTTTAGTTAAACATTCCCAAACAGTTTGGAGAATTTGTTTCTGCAAGCCGGGATGTGCTCATCTTCTTTGAAAAGTGTTTTCTAGCTCATTCTGAAATCATCAGTGCCAGTTACCTTGTCTCAATTCTTTCTATAAACATTCCTATGTGATAATTTGAATTTCTGGAGGCTTTTGATCAGTTACCTCCTATTTTCTCTGAAAGCTTAATTTCCTGTATTTTTCTTATCATTTTATTTGCTTATTTTTCAATGATACTGAAAAACAAGAGAGAAATCATACTTCAGACTCCACCCTTAAAGAAATCTGAGCCACTCAACATAAACCCATGAGGCTACTTGACCTTGGGTCTCAAAATTTCATTACTTTCTTGGTGAATCTGGGATCAATTATTTTTATGTTTTATGTAAGTTCATGCTTAGTTTATGATGCGTTTTTTTTCAAAGACTTTATTTATTTGAAATCTAGAATTATAGAGAGAGAGAGAGAGAGACAGAGAGAAGTCTTCCATCTGCTGGTTCACTCCCCATATGGGCACAACAACCAATGCTGGGCCAAGATGAAGTTAGGAGCCAGGAGTTTCTTTCTTGTCTCCCACATGGGTACAGGGTGCCAAGGACTTGGGCCAACCTTTTCTCTTTTCTAAGGTGCATTAGCAGAAAGCTGGATTAGAAGAGGACCAGCTGGGACTTGAACTGGCACCCATATGCAATGCTAGAGCTGCAGGCTGCAGCTTTAACACACTGCACCACAGTGTCATTCCTAGCTTCATAATTTCTGATGTCACAGCACAGAGGCTTACTCATGACCATCTTTTTTTTTTAAAGATTTATTTATTTATTTGAACGTCAGAGTTACATAGAGAGAGGAGAGACAAAGAGAGAGTAAGGTCTTCCATCTACTGGTTCACTCCCCAGTTGGCCACAATGGCCAGAACTGTGCTGATCTGAAGCCAGGAGCCAGGAACTTCTTCTGGGTCTCCCTCAGGTACAGGGGTCCAAGGACTTGGGCCATCTTATACTGCTTTCCCAGGCCATAGCAGAGAGCTGGATTGGAAGTGGAGCAACTGGGTCTCAAATTGGTGCCCATATGGGATGCTGGCGCTTCAGACTAGGGTGTTAATTCACTGCTCCACAGCACCAGCCACATGACCATCTTTTAGTATTTACTTATTTACTTACTTGAGAGTCAGAGAGACAGAATGAGAGATAAAGACAGGCTGAAAAGAAGAACTGACTCCAATTCTTCTCAGACTATTCAGAACAATTGAAAAAGAGGGAATCCTCCAAAATTCTTTCTATCAAGCCAGCATCATCTTAATTCCTAAGCCGGAAAAAGATGCAGCATTGAAAGAGAATTACAGACCAATATCCCTGATGAACATAGATGCAAAAATCCTCAATAAAATTCTCGCCAATAGAATGCAACAACACATCAGAAAGATCATCCACCCAGACCAAGTGGGATTTATCCCTGGTATGCAGGGATGGTTTAATGTGCGCAAGACAGTCAATGTGATACACCACATTAACAGACTGCAGAAGAAAAACCATATGATTATCTCAATAGATGCCGAGAAAGCATTTGATAAAATACAACACCCGTTCGTGATGAAAACTCTAAGCAAACTGGGTTTGGAAGGAACATTCCTCAATACAATCAAAGCAATCTATGAAGAACCCACAGCCAACATCCTATTGAATGGGGAAAAGTTGGAAGCATTTCCACTGAGATCTGGAACCGGACAGGGATGCCCACTCTCACCACTGCTATTCAATATAGTTCAGGAAGTTTTAGCCAAAGCTATTAGGCAAGAAAAAGAAACTAAAGTGATACAAATTGGGAAGGAAGAACTCAAACTCTCCCTCTTTGCACACAATATGATTCTTTATTTAGGGGACCCAAAGAACTCTACTAAGAGACTATTGGAACTCATAGAAGAATTTGGCAAAGTAGCAGGATATAAAATCAATGCACAAAAATCAACAGGCTTTGTATACACAGACAATGCCATGGCTGAGGAAGAACTGCTAAGATCAATCCCATTCACAATAGCTACAAAAACAATCAAATACCTTGGAATAAACTTAACCAAGGACATTAAAGATCTCTACGATGAAAATTACAAAACCTTAAAGAAAGAAATAGAAGAGGATACCAAGAAATGGAAAAATCTTCCATGCTCATGGATTGGAAGAATCAATATCATCAAAATATCCATTCTCCCAAAAGCAATTTATAGATTCAATGCAATACCAATCAAGATACCAAAGACCTTCTTCGCAGATCTGGAAAAAATGATGCTGAAATTTATATGGAGGCACAAGAGACCTTGAATAGCTAAAGCAATCTTGTACAACAAAAACAAAGCCGGAGGCATCACAATACCAGATTTCAGGACATACTACAGGGCAGTTGTAATCAAAACAGCATGGTACTGGTACAGAAACAGATGGATAGACCAATGGAACAGAATTGAAACACCAGAAATCAACCCACACATCTACAGCCAACTTATATTTGATCAAGGATCTAAAACCAATTCCTGGAGCAAGGACAGTCTATTCAATAAATGGTGCTGGGAAAACTGGATTTCCACGTGCAGAAGCATGAAGCAAGACCCCTACCTTACACCTTACACAAAAATCCACTCAACATGGATTAAAGACCTAAATCTATGACCTGACACCATTAAGTTATTAGAGAACATTGGAGAAACCCTTCAAGATATTGGCACAGGCAAAGAATTTCTGGAAAAGACCCGGGAGGCACAGGCAGTCAAAGCCAAAATCAACTATTGGGATTGCATCAAATTGAGAAGTTTCTGTACTGCAAAACAAACAGTCAGGAGAGTGAAGAGACAACCGACAGAATGGGAAAAAATATTTGCAAACTATGCAACTGATAAAGGGTTAATAACCAGAATCTACAAAGAGATCAAGAAACTCCACAAAAACAAAACCAACAACCCACTTAAGAGATGGGCCAAGGACCTCAATAGACATTTTTCAAAAGAGGAAATCCAAATGGCCAACAGGCACATGAAAAAATGTTCAAGGTCACTAGCAATCAGGGAAATGCAAATCAAAACCACAATGAGGTTTCACCTCACCCCGGTTAGAATGGCTCACATACAGAAATCTACCAACAACAGATGCTGGCAAGGATGTGGGGAAAAAGGGACACTAACCCACTGTTGGTGGGAATGCAAACTGGTCAAGCCACTATGGAAATCAGTCTGGAGATTCCTCAGAAACCTGAAGATAACCCTACCATTCGACCCAGCCATCCCACTCCTTGGAATTTACCCAAAGGAATTTAAATTGGCAAACAAAAAAGCGGTCTGCACCCTAATGTTTATTGCAGCACAATTCACAATAGCCAAGACCTGGAACCAACCTAAATGCCCATCAACGGTAGACTGGATAAAGAAATTATGGGATATGTATTCTTTAGAATACTATACCACAGTAAGAAACAACGAAATCAAGTCATTTGCAACAAAATGGAGGAATCTGGAACACATCATGCTGAGTGAAATAAGCCAGTCCCAAAGGGACAAATACCATATGTTCTCCCTGATTGGTGACAACTGACTGAACACCAAAAAGGAAACCTGTTGGAGTGAAATGGACACTATGAGAAATGGTGACTTGATCAGCATAGCCCTGACTGTTAATGAACAACTTAATACATTATCCTTCTTAGTAGTTTTTTTTTTTTGTCTGTTCTACTTAATATGACTGGTTTAATTCTGTAATTATCACACGGTTATTCTTAAGTGTTGAAAATTAACTGAAATGTGATCCCTGTTAAACATAAGAGTGGGAATAAGAGAGGGAAGAGATGTACAATTTGGGACATGCTCAAGCTGACTTGCCCCAAATGGTAGAGTTAGAAACATACCAGGGGACTCCAATTCAATCCCATCAAGGTGGCATGTACCAATGCCATCTCACTAGTCCAAGTGATCAATTTCAGTTCACAATTGATCATAATGAAAGGACTAAGAGTCAAAGGGAGCACATAAACAAGTCTAGTACCTGCTAATACTAACCGATAGAATAAAGGGGAGAGTGATCCAACATGGGAAGCAAGATACTCAGCAGACTCATAGAATGGCAGATGTCCTAAACAGCACTCTGGCCTCAGAATCAGCCCTAAAGACATTCCAATCTGGCTGAAAAGCCCATGAGAGTATTTCAGGCATGGAAAGCCAAGACACTCTGGCGGAAAAAAAAAAAAAAAAAAAAAAAAAAAAAAAAAAAACCTAAATGAAAGATCTCTGTGAGTGAGATCCCAGTGGAAAGAACAGGTCTTCAAAGAAGGAGGTACCTTTCCGAAGGGAGGAGAGAACCTCCACTTTGACTATGACCTTGTCTAAACAAGATAAGAGTCAGAGAACTCAAGGGGCTTCCATAGCCTTGGAAACTCATGACTGGTGCATAGGGAGATTACTGATGCCATAAACGGGAGTGTCAATTTGTAGTCAACAACAATAGTCACTGTGCACTTATTCCTCATGTAGGATCTCTGTCCTTAATGTGCTGTACATTGAGGCTTAATGCTATAACGAGTACTCAAATAGTATATTTCACTTTGTGTTTCTATGGGGGTGCAAACTGTTGAAATCTTTACTTAATGTATACTAAACTGATCTTCTGTTAAAAAAAAAAAAAAGAAGAAAAGAAATTATCAATTCCCAACTTGACTCTCACTGGGATTAAACATGACAATAGGTCTGATCTGATTTCATCATCATTAAAAAAAAAAACATCTATTATTTTTCACTTTATGTTTCTGTGTGGGAGCAAACTGTTGAAATCTTTACTTAATGTATGCTAAACTGATCTTCTCTATATAAAGAGAATTGAAAATGAATCCTCATGTAAATGGAAGGGGAGAGGGAATGGGAAAGTGGAGGGTTGCGGGTGGGAGGTACGTTACGGGGGGGAAGCCATTGTAATCCATAAGCTGTACTTTGGAAATTTATATTCATTAAATAAAAGTTTAAAAAAAAAAAAAAGACAGGCTGAAAGAGAGGTTTGCCAGCTATAGGCTCACTCCTCAAATGTTTCCAACAGACTATAATTTTCTTATTTATTTGAGAGGCACAGAGAAAAAAAAGAAAGAAACTAAGAAAGAGAGAGTTCACATTTATTGATTCAGTCCTGAGAAAGTCCTATGCCTGGGCAAAATCATGAGTGGGAACTCAATCTGAGCAGTGAGTTAGAAATAAGTTTCTGGGGGCTAGAGTTGTGGCATAGCAGGTAAAGCCACCACCTGCAGTGCCAACATCACTTATGGGCACCAATTTAAGTCCTTGCTGCTCCACTTCTGATCCAGCACTCTGCTATGGCCTGGGAAAGCAGTAGCAGATGGCCCAAGTCCTTGGAACCCTGTACCCATGTGGGAGACCTGGAAGAAACTTTTGGCTCCTGGCTTCAGATCAGTGCAGCTCCAGCCATGACAGCCAGTTGGGAAGTGAACCAGTGGATGGAAGACCTCTCTCTCTCTCTTTCTCCTCTGCCTCTCCTTCTTCTCTCTCTCTGACTTTTGAATAAATAAATAAATAAATCTTTAACAGAAACATTAATCTTAAAAAAATAAGTTTCTGTATGTTGCCTAATTAAGAAGCACTGAAGGAACTAATAAGTGCATGAAGGAAAAGGTATGAAAGTATAGATAAGGACAGTTAGAATTGGGGGAACGTATCAAACCTAGATAAAAGCCTTAGTAATATCAGAAAATGACTGGATTTTTTTTTTAATCAAAGAGCATCTTCACTAAGAACAAAAGTTGGAAAGATACTGGTATCTCTAAATGCCTGTGTCTGATGCACGAAACCCGCTGTCATCAGGAGTAAGGCTTGAGAAAAATTCATGGAAAGAACACCAGTCAACATCTGCTGCAGTCTTTCTGCCTTGGCCTCCCTGTCCCTTATGTGCAGACTGACCTGGAAGGCTCCGATTCAAGCATTCATCCACCATCCATGGCTCTGCTCCTCGCTCCAACTTGAAGATCAAGTCAGGTTTGGTAGTGCAGTACCCTATTAATGGAAACAAAGTAAGACTTTGTGAAATCACTATCTTGGGTTATTTAAAGGACTACAGCTTGGTCCAGGAGCTATGCAACAAATGTTCCAATTTGAATCTTTGGTTAGATGGTAGATATTCAAATTATTCATGGACTCAAGTTCTATACCTGCCCAATATTAAACATTATACAGTGTTCCCTTATTTGTCAAATAGCAATAAAATGTTATCGCTGGGCATGTGATGGGTGTCACTCACCCAAGGAGAACAGGCTGCTGTAGGTCTCCAGCATCACATCTTTGTACAGGATTTTCTGAGCATTGTTCATTTTCTTCCATTCCTCCCACGTAAAGTACACAGCAAGGTCTTCAAATGCTATCATCACCTATAATATTACACTTCCAGTCAACATATTGACTCTGCACAAAATAAACACTGACAGTTGTGTGGATGTGAAGGAAAAAAGGAAGGATATGGTTTCACATAGACTTGTTGAGTGTTTAGAAAGCCACACAGAGCATTCAACAGAATCAAACCCATGATCTACAGGCTGTGAAAAATGCCCAAACTGGAGGGAAACAGGAGGATCAAATCACAAAGGCCACATCTGTCAAGGGGAATTGCACAGCAGGCTAAGAGGGGCAATACTGACTCTTGAATATGCAATGTTATGGAGAAATATGTAGAAGCATTGAGAAAAAAAGGCAAGAAGCTATCAGTGAAACTATGATGGGAATGAACAGAAAATAATTTCCAGGAAAACACCATGCATATCATTTCCAATATGTCAGAAAAAAATATATTAAAAGACAGGGTAGACGTTTAGTTTAGTGTTTATGATGCCACCTCAGAGTGTCTATGTTTGATTTCCACTGCCAGCTCTAGTTTTCAGCTCCCAGATAATGCAGACCTGGGGAAGCAGTGGTGATGTCACCAATGAAGGAGGCCTAGATTCCATTCTTCAATCCTGGCTTCAGTCCTGCCCCAACTCTGTTTGCTATGGTTATTTAGGAAGTGAATTAATGTGTCAAAGCTCTCTATCTCTCAGTCCATCAACTTTTTTCTCTATCAAGCTAAAAAATATTTTTAAGTAAGAGAGAAAATACAGGTCAGACAAAGAATACAAATTAGCTTTTGCCCTTGTCTATGATTATTCTAATGATAAACAATTGAAATAACATTATACCTAATTAAAGTGAAAGCAATGGAAATACTTGCCCAAAACATTCAAATGGTAAACATTTGAAATAACATTATACATAATTAAAGTAAAAGCAATGGAATTATTTGCCCAAAAAGAGAACTTGGGAATGTCTGCAGTGCAATCTGCATTTGTGACTCACTGAGAAAAATGCTTAGAGATTTGTTTAAGAACCTGAAATAGTCACCAGAATTGTGATCCAGCAGGCTAAGCCTCCACCATCAAGTCTGGCATCCCATGTAAACAGGATTTGAGTCCTGGCTGCTCCACTTCCAATCTAGTTCCCTGCTAATCTAACTGAAAGAGCAGTGAAAATGGCCAGAGTATTTGAACCCTTCCATCAAATTGGGAGACCCATGGAGTTCCAGGCTCCTAGCTTTGGCCTGGCCCAGTCCCAGCCATTGTGGGCATTTGGGGAATGAACAGTAGATAGAAGATATCTCCTTTCATCTCCCTGTCTCTCCCAATCTCTGTAAGTCTGCCTTTCAAATAAATAATCTTAAAAAATAAATGAGCCTCCAGTAGATTTTTTTCTCCACACATTCCTTATCCTATTCCAGAATCCAATTCAGCTTCTCAAAGGTGTTAAGGACTCCATTACTCTAACAATTCAAAAACAAACTTAACTGATTTGTGTTTTAGCACTAGGTAACTCTTACTCTTGCAGAATGCTAAGTGTTTACTTCATAGGTAGCACTAAAATACTGCTCAGTATATCATCTATGTGTAGACTGTTTCAGACAACATGACCCCAAAAATGTAGCATATTGTGCTAAGTTTCAACTCAGTTCATGTAACAAATATATATTTTGCTACAGCAACAGAAAAACAAGAGACCAAACTGCATTATTATAAATGACAGTAATGTTCCATAGTCATTTGAAATTCATAATTCATTTCTGTATATTCCATGATAACAAATTTTATGTTTATTTTTCTATTTTAAAATTTTTAAAGATTTATTTATTTATTTATTTGAAAGTCAGAGTTACACAGAAGAGGAGAGGCAGAGAGAGAGAGGTCTTGCATCTGCTGGTTCAGTCCCCAATTGGCTGCAATGGCTGGAACTGCATCAATCTGAAGCCAGGAACCAGGAGTTTCTTCTGGGTCTCTGACATGGGTGAAGGGACCCAAGGACCTGGGCCATCTTCCACTGCTTTCCCAGGCCATAGTAGAGAGTTGGAGCAGAGGTAGAGCAGCCGGGTCTCAAACCGGTGCCCATACGGGATGCCAATGCTTTAGACCAGGGCATTAACTCACTGATCCACAGAGCCAGCCCCATATTTTCCATTTTAATTAACTAGTATACTGGGACTGGCACTGTGGCATAGCAGGTAAAGGTACTGCCTTCAGTGCTGGCATCCCATATTGGTGCCAGTTCAAGTCCCAGTGGCTTCACTTCCAATCCAGCTCTCTGCTATGGCCTGAGAAATCAGTAGAAGATGGCCTAAGTCCTTATGCTCCTGAACCTGTGTGGGAGACCCAGAAGAAGCTCTGCACTTCTAGCTTTGGATCAGTGCAACTCTGGCCATTGTGGCAAACTGGGGAGTGAACCATCAGATGGAAGACTCTCTCTCTCTCTCCCTCTGCCTCTCTGTAACTCTGACTTTCAAATAAATTAAAAAAAAAAACCTAAATAAATAAATAAATAAACTAGCATTAAACACCTAAAATGACTACTGACAAGCTGGGGAATAATTTAAAAAAAAAAATTAGAGGTGATATATAAATTTTCTTTTCTCTTAGAAACATGAGGAGGACCCAGAATCATACTTGGGAGAGAAGGTGAATGGCAGGAGTTCAAAGAAAACTCTGGAGGCCAACGCTGTGGCATAATGGGTAAAGCTGCTGCCTGCAGTGCCAGCATTCCATATGGGTGCTGGCTCAAGTCCTGCCTACTCAACATACAATCGAGCTTTCTGCTATGTCCGGAGAAAGCAGTGGAACATGGTCCAAGTCCTTGGGCCACTGCACCTGCATGAGAGACCCAGAAGATCTTGGGTCTTGGCTTTGGATCTGGTCAGCTCCGGCCTTTGCAGTAATTTGGAGAGTGAGCCAGCAGATAGAAGACGTTCTCTCTCTCTCAGCAACTCTTTCAATAAATAAATGAAATCTTAAAAAAACAAAACAAAACAAAAAAACTCTGCTTTCCTCCGCACTAAACAGTGGGAAAATAAGAATATGATAGAATGAATAAAGAACAATATGACTGGTTTAATTCTGTAATTAATACACAGTTATTCTTAAGTGTTGAAATTTAACTGAAATGTGATCCCTGTTAAACATAAGAGTGGGAATAAGAGAGGGAAGAGATGTACAATTTGGGACATGCTCAAGCTGACTTGCCCCAAATGGTAGAGTTAGAAACATACCAGGGGATTCCAATTCAATCCCATCAAGGTGGCATGTACCAATGCCATCTCACTAGTCCAAGTGATCAATTTCAGTTCACAATTGATCATAATGAAAGGACTAAGAGTCAAAGGGAGCACATAAACAAGTCTAGTACCTGCTAACACTAACCGATAGAATAAATAAAGGGGAGTGATCCAACATGGGAAGTGAGATACTCAACAGAATCATAGAATGGCAGATGTCCTAAATAGCACTCTGGCCTCAGAATCAGCCCTAAAGGCGTTCGGATCTGGCTGAAAAGCCCATGAGAGTATTTCAGGCATGGAAAGCCAAGACTCTCTGGCAAAAGATCTCGGTGAGTGAGATCCCAGTAGAAAGAACAGGTCATCAAAGAAGGAGGTACCTTTCTCTGAAGGGAGGAGAGAACCTCCACTTTGACTATGACCTTGTCTAAACAAGATAAGAATCGGAGAACTCAGAGGGCTTCCATAGCCTTGGAAACTCATGACTGGAGCATAGGGAGATTACTGATGCCATAGACAGGAGTGTCAATTGGTAAAGTCAACAACAGGAGTCACTGTGCACTTACTCCTCATGTAGGATCTCTGTCCTTAATGTGCTGTGCATTGAGATTTAATGCTACAATGAGTACTCAAACAATATATTTCACTTTGTGTTTCTATGGGGGTGCAAACTGTTGAAATCTTTACTTAATGTATACTAAACTGATCCTCCTGTAAAAAACGAAAGAAAAGAGAAATTATCAACTCCCAACTTGACTCTCACTGGGATTAAACATGACATTAGGTCTGATCTGATTTCATCATCATTTAAAAAAAAATCATCTATTATTTTTCACTTTATGTTTCTGTGTGGGAGCAAACTGTTGAAATCCTTACTTAATGTATACTAAGATGATCTTCTCTATATTAAGAGAATCAAAAATGAATCTTGATGTGAATGGAAGGGGAGAGGGAGTGGGAAAGGGGAGGGTTGTGGGTGGGAGGGACGGTATGGGGGGGGGGAAGCCATTGTAACCCATGAGTCGTACTTTGGAAATTTATATTCATTAAATAAAAGTTAAAAAAAAGAACAATAAATACATTAACCAGAAAACATCAGCTTCACTGATGTTTTCACTTCCCAGATAGCTGCAATGGCTGCAGCTGTGTAGATGCAAAGATATGAGCCAGGAGCTTCTTCCAGGTCTCTCACAAGGGAGCAGGGGCCAAAGGACTTGGGCCATCTTCTATGTTTCCCAGGCCATACCAAAGAAGTGGATCAGAAGTGGAGGAATAAGCCTGTAATAATGGACAAACATAGGAAAATGCACCCACCTATATTAAGTGGCAGAGATTAAAAAGAAGTTATCATTGGTTTAACGAAAACATTACCTACAAATTCTGTAAAATAATAGTGTAAAAGTAAAAAGAAATGCTAAGAGTGTTCAAATAAATGAGGTTGTCAGAGACAAACATAGCTTGTTATTAAAGTTTATACTAAAGAAAGTTAACACATACACATAATGTATATTTAATGCAGTGCACTTAACCAGTACTGATTCTAAATAGACCTTTTCCCTGTATTCATCCCTTTACAAATCCCTGGATTGGGTCTGGCATTTTGGCCTAGCGGGTAAAGCTGCCACCTGCAGACTGGCATCCCATAGGGGCACTGGATTGATTCCCAGCTGCTCCACTTCTGATCCAGCTTTCTGCTATGGCCTGGGAAAGCAGTAGAAGATGGCCCAAGTCATTGGGCCCCTGTACCCATGTGAGAGACCCAGAAGAAGCTCCTAGATCCTGGATTTGGATTGGCACAACTCTGGC